ATAGGAACGTTGACGCCTGCAAGGCTCTGGTTTTGTTTAATTTTTATATTAAGATGTAGCACCCATCATGCACCATCACCGGATTTACACACATGACCTCTACCGGATTTACTCTTCCAGAATTAGCTGCACCCCTGGGGGAATAGAAAAAATGAAAGCCTAGGGCAATATTCTACTAATACCCAAAATAATATATTTCCCTCCCGTTGTATAACCTTCGTAAAGTAAATGTATGAACAATAAACAGAAAATTACAAAGTAGATGCATGAACAATAAACAGAAAATGTTGCCTTTTCAAGACAATGCAGTAGTTCAGATACTTGAATCCACTTGATAACTAATCTCGGACATGTTCAAGTAGCGGAACCATCACCAAACCTTGTGTCGGCTGCAACACGCTGCAAATATGAAATCTCGTTTGAGTATTTTTTATGGTATCGATTGTACTTTACTTTCACTTAATGTATTTTGATTCGATGTCGAATTATGAAATGCGATGGGCTTGCACCTCGACCTCTGATGATTAGTGCCAAAATTCACTACAAATAGGCCTACGTAAAATATAATAATGTACTCATCATTATTATATAATTTTCGGTACAATTCAAAGCCGCTCCGTGTCCCTGTGATATTCTTCCTTCTTCCTGTTTCTTCTGGTACATTAAATGTAGGCCTAAAATAATTTATTACTGATATAAAACTACATTATGAACATTATATTTACACGATTACTTCATATTAATATTATACATAAACTATATATTTCAATTTCTAAAACTAGGCCTAATAGGCATACTTATTGACATTGAATTTTATATAAATTAAACTTGTAAATAAAATTAATTAAACGTGAACATAACATTGCATTAAAGGATTAACAATTCAATCTTACAATATATTTTATATAGCCAGAGTTAGATTCGACCTAATTAACCCTTGCTAAAAAGGTACACTTTCTCCATTAAAAGGCTTCTTCTATGAATGGAATTACCTGTTTAAAGCACTCACTCATGTAGATGAAACCCAGTACCGTTACGATTTTTTAATTGTAAGGGAAATCTACTCGTGGCAAATATGAATCTCGTTGAATAACTTTTTTTTATGGTATCTATTGTACATTACATTCACTTAATGTATTCTGATGAATGCATCTGCTTCTTATTTCCTCAATCCAATGGTGCGATATGGTCATTAATATAATAATTTATTGTTTAACATTTTCTGTGCTGTTAAAAGGTTAAAACCAGGCTCCGGAGGAAAAATGTTTTTGATATTTTTGATATATTTGACGAAAAATACGGGAATGTTAACGAACTACATATAGTTAAAAATGGGGGGGGGGGGGGGAGGGCGTAACCACCATTTTCTCCCAGTTTTTAAATATTAATCTCTATCTCATCCAATGTTTTTTTTTTAATCAAATATGATTTTTGTGTCTTAGAAAAATGAGTTACAACATTTCAAACATTTCCCCCCAGAGTCTGGCTTTAAGCAATGAGGAACTAAACTAATTTCTTCATGTTTTAAGTATTCAACTCCATAAATCCTAATGTTACATACAGTATTGAACCTATAATTAACAATTGTTATGTGTCTATTGATTTATTGAAGGATACGGTACATTTTAATATATAAATTTAATTATTCACTGAAAAGCATTACACTCTTTTAGAAAAAGGAATGCCGTGACCTTGGCCCTGGGTTAATACAAATTAATTATGTAAAAAAAATGTCTCCCCATCCCTTTATTGGATATAAATTAATACTAAATTTAATTTATTTCATAACCCTTAGGGCACGATATTAATGAATATAGGTTTCCATAATTGTATTTTTTTACAGGTGATGATGGTATGAACTAAAAGCTGTTTTGTGGATCTCATATCAGCTAGAAACCTTTGCTGTAAACGGAAGAATGAAGGCCTGGTATAGGCCGCATGCAAGAGTTGTTATTCCATTTGAAGCCATAGTTAAAGACAGGCGCTTGAGCGTGAATTGTGACCTGGACATACAGATTATAATTTCAAAATGAATAATTGGAGAAAAGCACTTGTTTGCTTCTTAATCTTAATTGGATACTTGATCTTTGGAGGTTTGATCTTTCACGTACTAGAACGAAGCGACGAAAAGTACAGAAAATCATATATAATCGATGTTGTTTATGATTTCTTGGGTAACAATACTTGTGTGGACACGCGTGACCTTGGTCGATTCATAGAGAACGTCGTCTACTGGGGAGATGGGTATCTGATCAAAGATGGCAATGTTAGTGACTCAAGCGAGATGGCCGATCATTGGGATGTCGCCAGTGCCGTGTTTTTCTCTGCTACGGTTGTCACCACAATAGGTATGTTAGGAAGTTCTGTAAATATTTGCTTAACAATAATGATGATGATGATGGTGATGATGATGATGATGATGATGATGATGATGATGATGATGATGGTGATGATGATGATAATGATGATCGTCAGTGGCGGTTCAAGGAGTTCGGACGAACCCCCCTCTGTGAAGAAACGTAACAAAATACAACTGGGTCCTGGCTTACAAAAGGCATGCTAACGTACCTAGGCATAGGTTGGAAGATCAGACAAACTATTCTTAGCCAAACTAGTTTTCAATTAAATAAATTATACACACTGTTTTTGGTTCGCCGTCGTAATAATGTATGTGTATACGAAAGTGCGTTCTTCAGGCCTATCGGTTTATCGATCCATGGAAGAAAGACTACATAGGCCTATCTGACTACTCAGTGTTGTTGGAATATAATAATATATTGCCAGTCTTTGATTTTTTTTCCTCTATGATAGGCCTAAAGAATGAGATAAAATTACCTGACCTTTTCTCACCTCAGAAGTCGGGAAAGCTCATTTCCGGCCATCTAGGAATTTTTCACGGAGGAGGACCCCCCCCCCCCCCTCCCCTTTCACTTTGAACATTTTGAACACTCCTCTTTTAAATCCTGGATCCGCCCCTGATGATGATGACGGTGACGATGAAGATGAATACAAAGACTATGAGATGATGATGATCATCATAAAGATAATGATAATATGAAAATTTATTTTAATGATAATAAAAATTAGGATGGTGATAATATTGAGGTGGTGGTAACGGTAATGAACAACAACTATTATTATATTTATAGATGATAACGATAATAATGATGATAATATGATAATCACTGCAGTGCCACACAATGTAGGATCCACTCTAATAGACCATATTCTTAAGTAAAAGGGTCTCGAAAGACATCAAACCATCTCCTAATAAAGATCCCAACGAAGACATACCGGTACGTTACCATATAAGTATACATCGAATATATTAAAAATAGTAAACGAAACATGCAATTTATTTTTAGGTTATGGACACATCGCGCCTACGACCTATGGTGGCTGTGCATTTTGCGTTGCCTACGCGTTCTTTGGCATACCTCTGACGGCGCTGTTCCTCTCATTGATCTGTCTCTTATACACATCTAGATGTGTATAAGAGACAGTTTCAAGACAATGCAGTAGTTCAGATACTTGAATCCACTTGATAACTAATCTCGGACATGTTCAAGTAGCGGAACCATCACCAAACCTTGTGTCGGCTGCAACACGCTGCAAATATGAAATCTCGTTTGAGTATTTTTTATGGTATCGATTGTACTTTACTTTCACTTAATGTATTTTGATTCGATGTCGAATTATGAAATGCGATGGGCTTGCACCTCGACCTCTGATGATTAGTGCCAAAATTCACTACAAATAGGCCTACGTAAAATATAAGTCTCTTATACACATCTAGATGTGTATAAGAGACAGCCTCAGAAGTCGGGAAAGCTCATTTCCGGCCATCTAGGAATCAAATTTTTCACGGAGGAGGACCCCCCCATCCCCTTTCACTTTGAACATTTGAACACTCCTCTTTAAATCCTGGATCCGCCCCTGATGATGATGACGGTGACGATGAAGATGAATACAAAGACTATGAGATGATGATGATCATCATAAAGATAATGATAATATGAAAATTAATTTTAATGATAATAAAAATTAAGATGGTGATAATATTGAGGTGGTGGTAACGGTAAAGATGACAACAACTATTATTATATTTATAGATGATAACGATAACAATGATGATAATATGATAATCACTGCAGTGCCACACAATGTAGGATCCACTCTAATAGACCATATTCTTAAGTAAAAGGGTCACGAAAGACCATCTAATAAAGATCCCAACGAAGACATATCGGTACGTTACCATATAAGTATACATCGAATATATTAAAAATAGTAAACATGCAATTTATTTTTAGGTTACGGACACATCGCGCCCACGACCTATGGTGGCTGTGCATTTTGCGTTGCCTACGCGTTCTTTGGCATACCTCTGACGGCGCTGTTCCTCTCATTGATTGGAGAATGCTTTGCAGATAGTTGGAACGCCTGGAACACGATACTTGTAAAATACGTTACCTGTTTCTCCAAACACCAAAAATCAAAAAAAGTGATATCAACTATAGTACTCGTCATAATAGCGTATAGTTTAATTATTTTGATCCCAAGCGTTATCCTCAGTAGCATCGAGTCATGGGAAAATTTGACAGGCCAGTATTTTTGCTTCATATCTCTCTCGACTATAGGATTTGGAGACTACGTCATAGGTCAAAACACGGATATGTCAGATGGCCTTTTGAAGACATATAAACTAATATTTGTGCTTTATATTATCTTTGGATTGAGTGTGCTGACGTTGAGTTTTAAACAACTTCAGGTGATCTACCAAGTAAAGGTTTATCGGCCGCGAGTACGTGGGCGGATGAAACGCAAGACGATTATGGTACGCCAGAATGATATTGAAATGTCGGTTAAACACTCTGCAAGAGTGGACAATGACATGGAAATAGAAATTGACGTTGATTCGGAGGAGACGTACATCGTAACATGCGACGCTTCAGTTCAAACTGAAAATTGAAGTTACCAATTGTTGAAACGCATATCAATATGTTGACGCGTTTAAACCAGAAAAAAATAATATTGCCTCATGCGTTCAAAGGTACCTTATAGTCATAAATGAATTTCACACAAAGTAATGCAGTATATAAAATTTTAATGATAAATAATGCAATTAGTCTCATTGTTTTTATAGTGATGATTAAGTAAAATTAAAGATTGAAATGTTTATCAAAATTGGAAAAGAATGCAGTATTTAATTAAAAATATTTTTATTATTATTAGGCCTATTATTATTAGTGATTAATATCGCACTGATCATTTTACTTATACATTCCATCCAATTGTACAGGTCCCAGAAGAATTGTATTAATTTCATACTATATTTACATTTTACTATATTTACATTTGTTCGCATTAACACTAGGTCAATATGTCAGCTTATTATGATGCAATGGTGTCCCATGATGCCTCTCTTTGAATTGAACTTTAAACTCTCAAACCGGATTTACTCTCGCCGCAACTTACCAGTGAGACCATATCAGTTAAACCAGAGAACAGTTAAATTAACTTAAATGTCTACAGCCCCCGAGGTTGAGTAGACACAATAATATGTAGACTATTATTGAGACTTGCATGTAATTTAGTATAGGCCTATTGCGCATTTAATTTAGTATGCAGAAAATAACTAGATCAAAGAGAATCACCTAGGCCCATGTACTCCCAACCATTTACGTCACTTACGAATTTAATAGATGAGTTATGTGTTGGCGATTATTCAATTCTCTGCTCAAATAAAAATAGCACGATATTTTAACGCCCATCATTAAATTTAAAAGCTTGATTCGACACTAAAATTTCCTAGCCATTTATATTGCTTTTCTTTATTATATTAAAATAAATTTAAATTGATTATTTTTTTATTGGTTGAAAGTTGACGAATGTTTGAAGATATTATGGATATTATGAAGATATTATTTTGTAAATAGAAAATAATATATTTTTTCGGTAAAATCATATATACTTTTCTTCTTTTATTGAAAACAGTTCTATCTAAACATGAAAACAGATTAAGTTTTATCAACATGTCTATAGGTTAATGTTCGAAAATAAAGACTCAAAGGAACCATAATCACGAACAAGAGTATAAAGTAATGACGTAACAACCATAAAAGTGGGAAAGATAAACGAAAACATGTATTGTACTAGCATGGTTATTTTAATTTAATATTGGCATTTGATGATGTAATTTATAACAACAACAACAATATCAACAACAACAACAACAACAACAACAATAATAATAATAATAATAATAATAATAATAATAATAATAATAATAATAATAATAATAATGGCTCCAATATTGATTATTGTAAAATAGATTTGTAGCTGCTTTGAATATTATAAACAGTTCACAATCCTTCATAAAAATGTATTTATTATTGTAAATTTCGAAGATCAACAAACGATGAAATAAAATACCAGTGCATACAGTAGATTTACCTCAGCCCCACCATGGTGGTTGAGGCTGAGGTGAACAGCGAAAGAAAGAAAGAAAGAAAGAAAGAAAGAAAGAAAGAAAGAAAGAAAGAAAGAAAGAAAGAAAGAAAGAAGAAAAACTAGCGAGTAATGTCATGTCATTGTTGTACAGACGACGGAGTATTCAAACACGAGAACTTTATTCAATTCCTTCTCTTGAACAGTTTGGCGTTGCTATAAGAAGCAAACAAAAACAAACCTTACAATAATTCAACATAATGTCATTTGCTATGCCTAATTATCAAAGCAGTTCATTAAACATTCTCATTTAAAGTAATTGGCCTATAAAGTTCACTTCATTAATTTCCTAGATATATTACAAAGCATCCAGATTTAATTAAACTATTCATCATAAAGGTTATAATCATGGTATGTAAATGATTATTAATTATCTATGATTATCTATAATTATACAGATTCTATCAATATTTCTTGCCATACCGTAAATTTTGATCTCTCCGCATCATTATACTGTACATAAGTTTTCATTGAATCATAAATCCAATCTGAAATACAATTAATGCATAAATCGAAATAATACATCCAATACATAGTAAATAGCCTATCTTCAACTACCTAATTAATATTCATGTTGATGTTCACTCAAGCGTGAAGAAAGAAAATGAACAGCGACGTTCCTCAAGATCTATCAAGTTATGCGATCGAATTGTTCATAGTACGATAATACATTTATACCATTATTTCAACACTATATCCTATTTTTATCTATGCTTTCTTTAACGTAGCTGCTTATCATAAATCAGGGATACAGAATAAATGTTATATTAATAATACAAACACTGTCTTATTGTGAAATTTATGTACAAAGTTTAGCTCGGTGTAACTGGCCTAGGCTACGTATAACAGTGTACAGAAAATATGGCGTCCGCGCAACGTTCGTACGTGCGGTAATCAACGCTTGGTTTAAAATTCTAATATTTCACAAAATCATCATTAAATCTTAATTATGCAATATTCATAGGTTCGTATAAAACTCACCCTTTATCTGTCCTATTACAGAAACCTTGTAAACATTTCAAACATCAATCATTCTGGCTTTTATGCCTCAACAGACTAGACTTAACATTATTATTATTATTATTATTATTATTATTATTATTATTATTATTATTATTATTATTATTATTATTATTATTATTATTATTATTATTATTATTATTATTATTCTTACCTTAACCCCAATCATGGTGGGGCTGAAGTGGTCTAGAGCCTGTATTTGTGAAAGTCCCCTTCTGGGCCTCATATCAAATTCCTGGTTCCGCCAGGTGGTGACGATTATTTAGCTTACAGGTAATCTTATATCCAAGTGACCAATACTAGCTTTATATTTTTTAAATATTTCTGATAAGAAATGACAATTTAACTCGATTTATAGTTTTCTTTATGATTGTTTTAGAATAATATTATGATTTCAATAATTCTGGTTTGATTATGACACCACAAACTTCATTATAATATTATTTCAAGCTCAAATTTATCTCACAATTAAAAGGTAATAGTTTATTTCGTTTTTCTTGACTCAATTTGTCAAATAAAAACTATTTAAAAAAGTATAATTCTGTTCCATTTCCGGGTATCCAGAGGTACAAACTATTGCAAATTTTTCCCACCTCAGCTCCAAAAATGGAGGCACTGAGGTGGTCCGGACTCTCTCTTTCAGCACCCATGTTCAATTCAATTCAATAAAACTTTATCATTCCCACAATGGGGAAACTCATTTGCCCTTGACAGTAAAACATTCAACAACGAAATAGGCTATATACAGATAAATTTACATTCCTTAAAACCACTGGTCTTGTTAACAATGCCAGAATAGGTGGTCATGTATTTATTAAAACAATTTTTTCTATAGGTTATGTTTTAGCGATGTTGCGCGGGCCGGATCAAACTCTTTGGCAGAGAGAAGTTGGCCCGCGGGCCGGGGTTTGAATACCGGGGATCTAGACCGACGTTCTGCAAACTATGGTCCGCGGCCCAAATTTGGGCCGCGAAACATTTTTGGAGGGCCGCGAAGCCGTCTGCAAATTGAAAAAAATAAATAAATAAAAAATAACAGAGACGTTTCATTATGGAGAAAATAGTTTTTAATAGACGCTTCATTGTTACAGCGAATGCGTCGCTTGCACACGCTGCTAAAAAGTGCCAGATGATGCGTGCTATTCGAGTTATAAGCGATTTTTGTGACCATGCCCCCTCGGGTTTGAGTTCTGGACGCTTCCTGTCTACAAACAAAGCAAAATGTGCTCCTTGAAAGGGGATATGATCGTGACCCAGGCACCAGTTCAGGTTGTGCTGCGTCCAGATTTTCTGAGGGAGCTGTATTCAATCTGCCAACACTGAACAGTGTAACAAAGTGCATTCAAGAGTATTATATCTGGTTACTTGCATATTGGTAGCAGCAGAGAGAAACAACTTGTTCCAGGATTTGGTTACTTTGTCTCAGGTCTGGTGAAAAACTCTTCTGTAATTCAACCATCGCCAGTATTACCCCTACCTACCAGCCAGGCACAGAATATTCAGTCATCAAGGATCTATGGAAGCAGTGAGAGGATGCCATCTTGGAGACTGGTCAGAAGTATGTTCTCAATACTTCTAAACTTTGTGGCTACAATAAAGCACCCACAACCTATATCCCAACTTTCAACCTCTGAACCATCGGCTTGGTAACTTCAATATTCTGTTGCACCAAGCCTTGTGATTTTTCTTGGATTATTATGTACCACTCTGGTAAATTTTATGAGGATTTTGTGTGATCTTGCTAAAAGGCAGACAAACAACAGTGAATGCATAACCTCCTTGGCGGCAGTAATAATACATTATGTGTAGAGCGGGTCCCCCATTAATTATAGTCATTTAAAGAATTACATGACTTTGTAAGGGATTTTCTTTGTAAACATCCACAAAAAAGACTCATTGGATGTAACAGCATGTGTAGTACAATAGTAAATGTACAGTAGATTTATTGTGAAACATTGCATCTGACTGGTGTTCATTGGTGTGGATAGCATTTGTGAACAGGGAGCTTGAATCACATTGGCCAGAAAATCATGGTCATTGAGTTTGACCATTAGATTTTAGCTTGTACCGTGGTTGGACTAACGTTATTTTTTGAGAACATAAACACTGCTTACTATATACATTTAGAGATTCATTTGATTGTATATGATTTTTAGTTAATATAGTATGCAATTAATTGATTTTCATTCAAAATCCAAAATGGCCGCCAATATGGCCGTCAAATGTAAATGCGAGGTCAATGTTTTATATTAAGAACTTAAACACTGCTTACTATATACATTTAGAGGTTAATGTGATTTTATATGATTTTCAGTTAATAAATTATGCAAATAATGGATTTTCATTTAAAATCCAAGATGGCCGTCAAAATGGCGCCAAACGACCCCATGGAACAATTTTTTCGATGGGAACATCAAAATTCGTTCATCAGATACTTTGAGGATTACAACAATGTTAGTTTAAAAATCCTGGGGGTGCATGTTCCTACTAGACTACTTCGGCTTCTCCTTCGAAATGTTTTTGTTTTCTAGATCCTTTGAAACACTTAGTGCATTATGAGACGTCTATTATTGAGTACACTCTGAATTCATAGTTTTTCCCTACTTTGCTATGGACAATTAATACCGTAATTATGATGATGAAGAAGATGATGATGA